GACACAAGTTAATTGACTTCCTATATCTAAGAACTTTATAGCTTTTTGTGTCTCAGAATCATTATGAGCTATTGCTTTCCTAGTCACCCATGATGGCCAGAAGATATTATATAGCAGGGAAGTCTTGAAATTATTTCCGCTATTTCTATAATTAATTGTTTTATGAAATGAACACTGAATTGCTAGAAGTTTCATTCCTAGATAGTTCACACTGAAGTTGTTTCTGTTTGATGCACAGTGTAAGTTTCTGTTTGATGCACAGTGTAAGTACTTCAATGGTAGTACTTACAAGTCTTGTCACTAAGAAAATTCTATTCACTTAATAGTATTTATTATTCTGAATTTGTAAGGCTCGGTACTTATACAGTTTAGAAAGATACTGGGGATACCCTTAGGTTTTCAGTATAACATACTAATGTGAATAGCCTCGGTTGTATTGGCCATATAAAGAAACAACTAGTTCCAAAATCTGCCTGGTGACAAAATCTTAATTGTGCTAACTAAAAGGAATTTTAAAAAATCACACTAACTCCCAAAGCTTCCTTCACATGTCTGTCAAGCAGAAATGGTTAAATGGCATGGAAGAGAAATCAGGGATGGTGCTGTAATCCTATCAACTTCTTCTGCTTCAAATTCTTCAAAAGGAAGAATACATAGATAAAAGATGAAAAATTTCCCTTCCCTTGTCATACAGGAAATTACAATTAAAACTGTTGCTACTTTTCTGTTTTTCATGTGCCTATCATGAATTAACACTTAGCCATAATGCCATCATATCATCTCAGGAAGGTACAATCACATAACTCATTCCCAATTTACTGAGACCCAGCCTTTACTGATAATTAATCTTAGATTCAGTTACTTCGATGCCTTGGTAGTCATTTTTGAAATAGTTCTGATGTGGTGCCATTTTTATTTATTTATTGGTTCAACTTTAGGGTAGAACCCATAGCGCCAAGAATGCTGATGTACATTTTATGATTTTTAAGGAACTGTGGAATAGTTTTACTGAAGTGTTTTACTGGAATAGGACTGGGACATATGTTTTTTTCTGTGGATTTCACAGGGCTCATTTCTGTCTCCCATGTAAACCTGAAAATCCTTATTCTTCAATATGATCCTATCATTATTTTTGAGATCTTTTGAGAAGGCTCTTCTTTTTATCCCACTAATCTCACAAATATACTTGATGGGAACATGAGAGAGGGCCTTCCCTGTTGCCCTCCACCAGAATTTATAGAGAGGTTAAACTGGTGCTCTTTCTGTAGGCAGGTGAAGAATTGTTGGGTTTTTTGTAAGGTATTTAAGACTGATTGCTAAAGGGGAACAACTCTTGCATAATGTGCAGTACATTCTATTTTTTTAAAAAAAATATTTTAACTGAATCATAGAATCATAGCATTGGAAGAGACCACATGGGCCAACCCCCTGCCATGGAGGAAAAGCACAAAGTACCCCTGACAGATGACCATCCAGTTTAAAAGCCTCCAAAGAAGGAGCCTCTACCACACTCTGAGGGCCTATCTACACAGTACCTAAAGCACAGCACAGCATTTACCGAGTTAAAAGGGGAGGGGAGCGTGGCTACATTACACTACTGGTAAATCCTTGGTGATTCACGGCAATGGACGAAAAACATCGGGTAAAAAGTTCCCCCTTTATCCCAATCCAGCAAGAAAATTAGCAGATTCGCATCACTGTATATCCCTGCACTCTCAAAATAAATAAATAAATAAAATGTGTAATTTCATTCCCCTTCCCCTGTGGAAACTGCTTCAGCACATGTCTGCTTTTAAAAAGTCCAAAACAGTTGATCAGCTGATTTAAAGAAAGCACAAACGGAGAGCAATTAGAACTCTCTGGAACTCTTTAATCTCATATGCACATATGCAAATCTGCTTATATTTATATTAAGATATTTGCACATGCACATAACCACATATACAATACAGCGCATAACAGAGAGATTTTTGTTTGAAAATCCCTTCTGCTGGATGTCACCTGTCCACCCTCCATCTTGTTCTAATACAGAGGAAGCCTGTGAGCCTGGCGGCAGACCCAATCCCAGGATTAACAGATCTGTGGGGACCTGCTGTCAGGTCCCAGGATTTTTAACCCCCATTTAAAACCCACATTTTGCGCTGTCCGGAGGTGCCCTGAGGCAGAGAGTTCCACTGTTGAACAGCTCTTACAGTCAGAAAGTTCTTCCTAATGTTCAGGTGGAATTTCCTTTTCTGTAATTTGAACCCATTGCTCTGAGTCCTAATCTCCAGAGTAGCAGAAAACAAGCTTGCACCCTCTTCCTTATGACATCCTTTCTTGTCATGCCTCCTCTCGACCTTCTCTTTTGCAGGCTAAACATACCCAGTTCTTTAAGGTGCTTCTCATAGGGCATGGTTTTCAAACCATAATCATTTTAGTCACCCTCCTCTGGACATATTCCAGCTTGTTAAGATCTCTTTTAAATTGTGATGCGCAGAATTGGACACAGTATTCTAGGTGAGGTCTGACTAAAGCAGAATAGTGATACACCATGACTTCCCAAAATCTAGACCAGGCATGTGCAAACTTTGGCCCTCCAGGTGTTTTGGACTTCTACTCCCAGAAATCCCAGCCAACTTACTGGCTGTTAGGAATTGTGGGAGTTGAAGTCCAAAACACCTGGAGGACCAAAGTTTGCTCATGCCTGATCTGGACACTATATTCCTTCTGATTCACCCTGAAATTCCATTGCCTTTTTTAGTTGCAGCATCACATTGTCTACTCATGTTTAACTTCTTGTCCACAATCTTTTCACATGGACTATTGTCAAGACAGGCATCACCCATTCTCCATCTTTGCATTTCAGTTTTTCTGCCTATGTGTAGTATTTTACATTTGTCCTTGCTGAAATTCATTTTGTTAGTTTTGGCCCAGCTCTCTAATGAGTTACGGTCACTTGCAATTCTGATCCTGTCCTCTGGAGTATTAGCTGTCCCTCCTCTAATTCATACATCATTAATTAAGATGATAAACAGTACTGTGCCCAGGACAGAATCCTGCAGCACTCCACTAGTCACTCCTTTCAAGAATTAAAAGGAACCATTGGTTTGGTCTTTGGGTTTGGTCACGTAACCAATTACAGATCCACCTAATACAGTAGTAGCATTGCCTTGCCCACACCTGTTATTTTGTTTTTTGTTACATCATCACGTCATCAGTAGGCCAGTATGTTATCAGATTTAGACATCATCAGCTTAGTAACCATAGCTGCTTTGGCCAGTTGGTATGAGGAAGAGCTGTCTTTAATATCATAGCAATATTTCTCATTGCCATTTGTTAAACATTTTGCTTTTAATAGTTTATATGCTGGGTTGTTGTAGGTTTTTTTGGGCTATATGGCCATGGTCTAGAGGCATTTTCTCCTGACGTTTCACCTGCATCTATGGCAAGCATTCTCAGAGGTAGTTTATATGCTGCTAGATATTTTTAATGTGAAGACTGCTATAGAMTGTGCTTTATTTTCTAAGAATTTATTCTTCTACATATGTCTTTTTGTCACTTATTGTTACATAGTAATCACTCAAATTGCCCTTTAAATRGTGAAAAAGGTAGACCTCATTTYTMCCGTCTCTTTTTATTCTTTACTGAAGCTTCATGTCAAAACAATATTATCTGTCTTCCTACCTTTCCATACATTAGAATAAACTCTACTTATTCTAGAAGCATTTGTATTGTTCAAACACATACAATGTACAATGTAAAAAAGCAAGATTATGCTTGTTGTTTTAATATCTTACAATATTTTCCATCTTCATTAATTTAATACATTTCTATCATCTCTTCCATTTTCGTAAACTAACAAACCTGTTATTTTTACCTTTTTATGTTTAACATATATTACGTTCATCTCAAAATAAGAACGCACTTAGAGGGTTTTTYTTTCTTTCTTTTTTCAGCTGATAGTGTCAAATCTAATGATATAATTTCCTGTAATGAGTGGGGGGGAATTGGTAACTAGGAGCTTCATCTTTACTTTTGGGGTCACAACTCAGCTTTTTAGGTTTCTCTATACCATCTTCTCCGTGACATACTTGTTTGGACATATAATCTTTTCCCTATTATAAAATAATGAAACACCTATGTGGAGACCTAACTACTAGCCATGAGAGTTTTAAGATAAAGTAATCAGGAAGTTTGGTCCTGAGGGCCATCATGGCATAATGGTTGGAATGTTGGGCTACAATTCTGGAAACCAGGGTTTGAATCCCTGTTTGACCATGGAAACTCACTGACCCTATATTTTTGCCTTTCCCTTCCTCTGAAACTGAGAGAATGTGGCTTGCCTATGGCTGTTCAGTGGGTTTCTTTGACTGAGTGGGAATTCAAATCTTTAGTCTCCAAAAGCCTAGTCCAACATTTAAACTGGTTCTCCCACATCCAGAAACATCTACACATGGAGAATGACTTTTTGAAAAAGATAATCTCTTTTCTGCATGTGGTTTTAAGCTGCTGACATTCCTGGGTCAAGTTACTTGATTGTTTTTTGTGTCCTGTATTTTAACGAATACGCTTCACATACTGCAAAGTGTTTTCTTAACAATACTACATTGGTTTCAGCTGCATGACTCGAAATCTAGTTCTTGCACTTTGCTATTATTCCCTGCCTATAGACATAGTGTTCTACTCCATATTGCCCTTCTACCCCGAATCTGTCACCTGGCTTTGGTACTCTATTCATCAGCCCTGTCCTTGCAACTGATTTGCACCAGCTCACCCGACCACAGCTCAGTAATTGCATACTATGTCACACTATTGGTTGTTTGCTCAATGGTTACCTTATAATCATGTTTATGGTGTTGTTTCATGTATTTTTCTGTGTCATATTTTAAACTCTATTGATTGGGCTTGTCCCCATGTAAGCTGCCCCGAGTCCATTCAGGGAGATGGTAGCGGGATACAAAAATAAGGCTATTATTATTATTATTTACACATGACTGTCATTATTCTGTATATTACAGATGACAATATACTGCGTGGACCAGTTTTCATCCAAGAACCAAGCAGTGTTGTTTTTGCACTGGATTCTGATGAGAAGAAAGTCAAACTGAACTGTGAAGTTAAGGGAAATCCTAAACCAACGATAAGGTTTGTTGCATATCTATAATGTCTTTGGCAGTGTTTTTATTATAAATTGAGGGGAAAGAAAAATAAAATCTATATATTAATTTTAGTGGGTTGATCATAAATTAGGATTGATCGTGTTTTTCCAATCCTAGAATTCTGTGAACTGAAGTCACAGATGTGTCAATCAATGAAAACAATGCTGCTGCATTATACTTCGACAAAAAACAAACTTTTTAAAAATATGCTTACTGCATTCATATTAAAGGAGGAGTTTATTTCAATTTCATTAAATCTACACTAACTATTAAAGTTAACAAACTGCAAGAGATGATTAAAAAGCAAATGCCAACCATGATTTTATGCCTCATTCCCTTCCCTATCCCAGTTTGAATTTGAATGAGTGTAAGAATTTTAGAAAACCCGATTTATCACTGTCCAGCCTATGATAAAGAATGAATGAGATTACAAAGAAGCATAAAAAACATATGAAATAAAAGCCAGACTCATTCACCCCACTGTGTTCTGCATTGGCAGTATCCCAGAACAAAAACCTGAATTTCACACACATGATTGCTAAAAAATTATTTTAAAAAACAAAGCCAATAAATTGAATTCTCACATGAATATTTAGAATCAATGCAACATCTATTCCTTTTCTGGGAGACCATCAGTGCTATTCAGTTTGTCTTCTGGGTCCCCTTCTCCTTCCAATTATCTCCATTATTTCCTTCCATTTCTCAGACTGTGTTCTGAAAGATACAAAGAAAATAAAGAAATATTGAGACAAAATTAGAAAAAAAGGTACATCAATGTGTTGTCGAAGGTATTCATGGCCAGAATCACTGGGTTGCTTTGAGTTTTCTGAGCTGTATAGCCATGTTCTAGAAGCATTCTCTCCTGACATTTTCCCACATCTATGGCAGGCATCCTCAGAGATGTAGGGGTCTGTTGGAAACTAGAAAAGTGAGGTTTATATATCTGTGGAATGTCCAAAGTGGGAGAAAGAACTCTTGACTGCTCTGAGGATGTTTGCCATAGATGCAGGCGAAACTTCAGGAGAGAATGCCTCTAGAACATGGCCATATAGCCCGAAAAAACCTACAACAACCCAATCCCTGTTATTTTCCCTTCCTCTAGTGGTCACGTGCAGTAATCCAATAGGTATTAACTTTACATACTGCCCTGGTCCCCATAACATTGAACTGAATTGAATAACTTTATTGTAGCATTTAATTTCTTAGTGCAATAGCATAATGGTGCTATTGTACAATGAAATTAAATGCTTTCCCCAGCACACATCACAAAACAGCAAACACTTCCCACCAAACCTCAACCACCTGAACCTTGGAATTACAGCTCCAGTTATAGTTAGAGCTCTAGGGCAAAAGTTCTCAGCCTGTTTGTCCTTGTCACCCTATACCATCTGCCAGATGGCAATAATTTAAAAAAAAAAGAATATGCTGGGTGTGATGGAGCCCCAAGAATGCTCTGAGCTTTCTTTAGGCTGTGGGACCTATAAAGTTATTCCAAAGAGGGGAGAGGATAAACAATAATTTGCTGTGCAGAAGTGGTTATCCTTTGGAGCACATTCCTATCTGCCACTGTGCAGTTACCAAACCATGCACAGATGCAATAGTTTAGGACACTCTCGATAGCACAGTGGTAGAAAGTCACCAGCATTTTTTCTTTCAGTTGTTGGTTCCGTAGAAGTCTCAGATTGTATAATCTCTGCTGGGCCCTCTTAACCAATGCTTCCATATGAGCGCCCCAGGTCAGATCCTCCTTAACAGTGACACCCAGGAACTTAAAACTGGCCACCCACTCCACTTTGTCTCAATTTTTGACCAAGGGCTGGATTTCTGGACTCTTCTCTCTGTAGTCCACTATAAGCTTCTTGGTTTTACTGATGTTAAGAACCAGGTTATTGTCCCTGCATGATGAGAGAAACCAATCCACCTCATCCCAATAGGCAGACTCATCCCCTTCAGAGATAAGACCCGCCATGGTTGTATCATCTGCAAGTAATATTGCTCTGATGGGTGGGGGTCAGGCATGTAGCCGGGGGGGGGGGGGGGCGTGAGGGGCGCCCCCCCCCCCCGAAATTCTCATGGTGGTCCGCGAGAAGGCCTTATGGTACATTATTTAAACTGTTATGTTTATTCATATCATGATCTGATCACCATACTCAATATATCCCATATGCATGGGGGTATTGGGGTAATGATACAAAAGGTTTGCTAGGGGTAGACCCTCTTTCACTTAGACTCAGCCCCCCCCCGAAACTCGCCCCCCCCCCAGAAACCCCCCCTGAAAAAAACCCAGCCCCCCTCCCCCCGAATCGAAATCCTGGCTACAGGCCTGGTGGGGGTGCAGTCACATGTGTACTAAGTGTAAAGCAGAGGACTCAACACACAGCATTATGGCATCCCAGTGTTGAGAGTGAGAGCTGATGAGGTATGATTACATAATCTAACCCTGTGGGAACATCCAGACAAGAAGTCCATGGTCCAGAACAGAGTGAATATGACAATCCAAGATCCATAAGTTTAGAAACCACTCTGTGTTCGAGAATTGTATTAAACACATAACTAAATTCTGCAAAAAGCATCCTTACATAGTTCCCCCATCACTCCAGGCAGGTCAGAGTGGTGTGGAGTCTGATGGCTATCGCATCCTCAATCGATCTGTTAGCTCTGTATGCAAACTGATGCTTGTCCAATGTATGTGGAAGGCAAGAAATGATATGCCTGAAAACCAGTTTTTCAAGATGGAATAATAGACTGACATAAAGACCAGTTAAGAATTACAGTAAAAACACTGGCCAATTGGTCAGCAGAGGCTTTAAGCACCCAGCCAGAAAGGCCATCTGGTTCAATGGCCTTTCTAGGATTCATAGCACTCAAAACATGCCTTATCTCATCTTCCTCTATGTTGAGGTGGGAGCTGCAGCTTCCCAATGACTGAATTCCAGCTACCTGTGGTAGGCTTACTTGAAAGCAGGCAAAAAAGTGATTCAACTCCTTTGCCAATGAGACATCCCCTTCCGTAGGAATGTCATTGTAAAGTAAGTATAACTAATAAGTATATAATTCTGGATAACACTATCTGAACTGTGATGTTTTTGATTCAGAAGATTTATCTTGCATTTGAGAAGATGGAACAGATTATTCATAGATACTATAAAATGTTCGCCTTGAAGCAGCAATGCAAGAGCGATAAAAATGTAATCCATTTTATGACTGACCACCAAAAAGTATACTTATCAAAAGTTATATCACATTTCATTATTCTACAGGCAGTTGTGATTTCTTGCTTGTTAGGAACAAGAGTGTTTTTGCCGTTTGGTTCAATATATATTTTTCAATAAATCCTTTAACGTTAGCAAAATTCAACAACTGACACTTTTGTGTTATAGGTGGAAGTTAAATGGAACCATAGTTGACATTGGTATGGATTACCGCTACAGTGTGGTTGAAGGCAGCTTGTTGATCAATAATCCCAATAAGACTCAAGATGCTGGAACATACCAGTGCATAGCAACAAATTCATTTGGAACAATTGTTAGCCGAGAAGCAAAACTACAGTTTGCGTGTAAGTATAATGGTAGACATTGCTTCATTTAATCATAATTTGGATAAAACCAGACTGATGGCTTTTAGGAAGCATACATACTATTCTATTTAGGATGTTCTTTGATTTGATAAATGAATGTGCGAACTATTTGGAAGCTGAAATATTTTGAGCGATCTTGAGAAGTGAAAAGAATGTGGTTCCATTTCTTAGTTCTGGGTTGAGATAAAAAAGTAGTATATAGTGATATGATGCAATATTGTTGAATTACATGTGTTCATGCTTAACTTCAGAATAATTCACATAGCCAATGGACTTATAAAAGTAAAACCCATAATGGTAATTGTTCTTGTCTGTTACACAGTGAATGACCTAATGAGGACTCCAGAGTTTTTTTTAGCAATGTTCCATTTATGAGTCACTCAAATACAGGCAGTCCCCAAGTTATGAACAAGATGGGTTCTATAGATTTGTTCTTAAGTTGAATTTGTATGTCAGTTGGTACAGGTACTCCAGCCACTCTCTCTCTCTCTCTCTCTCTCTCTCTTTGGATAACACCCCTGTGGTGTTTGTTGTGTTCTCTGTGCTCTGTTCAAAAGATTTCACCTTGCTTTCTGTCCCTCGGATAATTGGATTTTGAAAAAAAATGGCTTGTTGTGGGATCAAGGATTAGTGATCAAGCTTCAGTGGAGATACCTTTTCTCCATGATAACTATTTCAGGAGTGGTTTTCCCTTCCCTTTCTAGGGGTAGATTTCTCTCATTTCCTGTTGTCTCACCCCCGTTCTTAACTAAGAGTTGTTTGTAAGTCAGATGCTGTAACTGCTTAGGCACATACTATTACTTTTCTGAAGACATTTCTCTCATTTGTTCTGATTGTCCTTTTTCATAAAATGGAGTGTGATATTACAATAATGAGAATGAAATAAATGCTAAATGTTTTCTATGTCCTGATGATTAGCATTTATTTTTTAAAAAAATGCATGTTCATACTTATACCGATCAACTGAGGCATTTTAAATTGGCTAATGACACCACCTGAGGATATGATTTAAGGTCTCAAACCATTTAGAGTTTCAGTTAGAAGCAGTTCATATCTATGTGCTTGGTTGTTAATGTTACCTGGTCATAGAACAATTAATGGATATAATTTTTAAGACTTGTTTTGCAAAGTCTGTTGTCAAGAAAATAATTTGATATATTCCTCTCTGAAACACAAATGTTTTTGTTTCTGACTATTTCCTGTTACCTTCCACAGTCTTACTTGCAGTACTGAAAGTGGGTAGCAGTACTGAAAGAGGGACATAAATGAATTATAGAAGATAAATAAAACAAATGAGGAATCTGTATTTATTTGCATGGCACATCTTCTGGATTAATCTTCATTATTTTAAGTGATAGGTATGTAAGATGTGATTTACTCCTGTCTTGCTCTCCAAATAGTACTATAACCATGAAGAATTATATTCATTATTTATATATTTATATTCCATGGTTTTGGGAAATCCCTTAGAAGGTAGTTTTCAAAAATGAAGGACAATGTCACCCTAGAAAAGTGCTCATCTAAAATGTCTTCTTGAAAATAATACTATCACTATATATATATATATATATATATATATATATATATATTCAAAACTATTGTACAAGTAAAAGGTTAGAGGTACACATATTAGATACTGAAGCTCACTTTCCATAATATGAATTAATAATGTAAACCATCATGAGTTTTCTTATGTTTATTTATTCATTTAATTTGTATATCAGTATGGGACTGTAGGCATTTCACAGCACAGCTTAAAACAAAATATAGCCAAAACAGTTTATAATATAAAAAGCTTCTGAAACGTAAAGTAAAATTAGTCAGGAGTGAATAAATTGAAGCATAATCCAGAAAAGTTCCTCCTCCTTCAGACAATACACATCAGTTTAATACTAAAATAGCTTCTTTGTAATTGGATAGAAAGAAAAGATAGAGTTGAGTATCATCAACATACGAGTCACTCATGAGCCACAAAATTCCAGATAACCTCTCTCACTGGTTTCATTTACATCTTAATTTAAAAAATGAAGGCAAAACTTTCATCAGTGGTATCAAAGCCACTGAAATTTCCAGCAGAACTAACAAGGACACAATCCCATGATTCATTTCTCAGTATAAAGCAACAAAAGCCATCGCTGACCGATCACCACACCTGTAATGGATCTAAATAATATTTTTCATTCAGCAACTCTTGGAGTTAGAGGAGCACAACATGCTCCTGAACTTTGCCCAAGAAAGGGATTTTGGAGTCTGGTCAGCAGTTGTCTGATATAGTGGATTTCAGAGCCTTGTTTGGGCAGGATAAAACCCTGCCTTGGTGTAGTGAGACATTCATCACATCCATTCAGCCAGTCCATCGTTGGCTGCTTTTATAAGTTAATAAAGACACAGATTCAGCATACCAGTGGTAGTTGTCACCTCTCCAAGTATTCTGTTCACATCCTGGTGCTGCACAGATTGAAACACACGCAGCTGCACAGGACAAATAGGAGCCATAATTGTATGCACTGGACCTGTAAAACCACAGAACCTGAGTCAGATTGCATCTGAAAAAAATTATCTGCAACCAGTTGTGTAAAGATCTTTTGCAGGTGCAATGATTTTCTTCATTACCTCTATCACCATGGAGTGGACTTTAGAATAGACTCTTACCTGTGTTCAGTTGAAACTGTTCTTATGGTTTCCATAATTCATGCTGTAATCTCTGGCCTCATCTACACTGCCAAAAAATGCAGTGTAGCTGTCACATTAACCTTGTGCGTTCAAATAACACACCCAGGTTAATGCAATTTAACCCGGGATAAGCCCTTTCCTCCAAGTCCCAGTGAGTTTAATTAAAATTTTAATCACATACAGTACATGTGTCCATTTTACTGAGTGTAAATACACTGTAGGAAGTCAGTGTTTACAGTGTATATCTCCCTGTCTTGGTGGATTTGAAAGAGAGGAAAAAGTGTACGTTAGAAGTTTAGAACTATGGCTGATGATAAATATCTCTTTCATAGAAGGAAGTGGACATTTCAATCATTTCTCTTATTCAGTCCTTCCCTTATTAATGCAAATGAATTACAGTGATCATTATATTTATGTTACTACCGGTAAAACAAAACAAAAAACCCACACAAACACACATGAATGTATCACACAAAATGAAAAGCCCGTTTTTGTGGCAATTTCCTTGAAAGATGATAGGTAGTAAAAAAGTAATAGCCATGGGTAGTCTTCTATTCTCCAGAATAATTTACAATATAGTATCAGCTTTTCATAGCCTTGTGTTGTTTGTTCCATCACTGAAAATGTCCTCTGTGAAACGTAGGTAATGAACAGCTTCTTTGAGGCTAATAACATGAGATTCTGGTTTGTCAGGGAGACTGCCTCATAAATACAGCTTCCTCTCCCTAAATTCTGCTGCTCTATAATATCTCAGATCTCACAAATCAAAAACCTTGGCTATTCAATAACCTAAGTTTTAATACCTTATTATTCAAAGAAGATTATTCAACATGCTGTCATCATATTATGTAAGAACGTTACTTACTGACCTGACCACAACATGCTAGCTATGTAGAAAATGATGAAATGGAAGATGCTTTGGGCAGCCATCCAAATGTCCTGGTCATGGAGTAATCTTCAACACAATTGTAGAGAAACCCTTCTGCATCTGCTGAAAGGATGGAAGGGATAGATGAGGAATGTGTTTTTTTTTTAATTTCTTCTTCACATTTTCTCCCCCCCCCCCCCCCCCGCCCCACTCAATTTGCTTCTTGATTTTTCTTCCCATGGTTCATCATAGAAGAGAAAATAAATATACAGATTTCCGATCATTCCTCAGTCTGGGGACAAGATGGGAGATCATGCGTACTTACTGATAAGTCTTCCTTTAATCAAAATCTTTGAATAGAGTTCTTTTTGAGCTTGACAGATTTAGCGATTTTGTTTAGATATTGTAATTTCTATGTCTGTAATAATGTTTGAAATTTGGCTTAATTTGTAAGCATGGTACACTAAAATCTGTGCTACATTTAATTAATTGGTGTGTTATTGTATCCCAGGAACACATCTGGACTGCAACAGCAACTTTGATGGATGAGCAAGCACAAGCTTGGCATGACTTATTTTTAATTAAGGAGGTTGCTTTAATAAGCAAAGTTTGTTTCCTAGCAATGAAGTGGCAAATGGTGTTTCTTATGACCAACACATTCTTAACATTTATATTTGTTAAATGTCACACACATATCACTCATATTTTGATTTTAAATAAGATGAAAGGGGGAGAAAAAGGTATCTCAAATTATGCATTGGCTTTGTTTTATTTGTCCTCCTACTTCGTAAAAGATATGTCACCTTATGTTGCCTGAGTAAGAAGATTGCAAACATAATGTCTAGATTTTGAAATATCCTTGGTGGATTAAGTTTATTACACAGGATTTGCTTCTAGAAAGCAATAAAGATGTGCATCAATTTTAATAATGCATTCTTTTGAATCCTGACATTCAAGTGAGGTGTGTGTAACTCTTGATAGAATGAAATCAGCCATAAAGGACACTTCATGGAAGTTATTGGGAGAAGCCAATTTCTGAACTCAAAACTTGCTTACTGAAAAATGACTTCCTTTGTCATTGTAGGAAGAAATGGTGTAGAGAAACTTCTGAATATATATCCCGTGTTAGCAGTTTGAGACAGCATTGAAGATATGACTTGTCTTCAAAAAAATTATGATTTTTTTTTAAAAAATGCATTTTTACAATGCCATTTATTCTGAATATAAAATAATCTCTCCTGCTACTGAGGCAGTGATATAGTTAGATCTAGATGTGGGGATGAGATCAATCATACATATCCCAGGTATTCCTAAAAAAATTTTTGAGAAAGATTGATATAGGCAGTGGGGTAACAAGCTTGCTGTTAACGCATGGCCAGACAAAGATAGGGTGGGATTCATTCCCATTGCATGATGCCTTCTTTTCTATCAGAAATGT